GCGGGGGGCAAGGGGGAGGGGGTGGGGGGGGGTTGCGTTCAGGGCAGTCCCTGAGGCCGCTTGTCCAATCATCGTCAACTGTTTTCTGCCAATCCAAAGTTTGCCCAGCTCCTACCTACTTCAATCGTACGTTTGCCTATCTCTTCTTACTTACACCCTTTTACACCCTTCCCTGTTTTATTTCCTATATAGGCATTTCCCAACCTCTGCTGCCCCTTAGTCACCGCCTAACCATCTGTACCATTTGTCCGGGTTTCTGTTATGCACCTATTATTTTCCTATTATTTTCCTACTAGCAACAGCATTCTTGTTTCTACTATTAATACCCCCACCGTTTAGCTGTTCCACTCCCAGATGCCCTCTATCATCTATTCCTGTTTCCTGTTTCCTCCGGATTCCTATGTTTTTTATGTTTCAGGTTAAGATCCCCCCTCTAAGATAGCTCTGCCCTCCCCCACCGCCCATACCCCCCTTTCTTTTTGTTTTATTTTTTCAAGAGGGGTCTTGATTGGCAAAGTCAGAGTTTTCCAGAAGGGCAAAACAACTGAAGAAAAGGAAGAAACTTGAAGAAAAGTAATTGTGAAAATCAAAATCGTTTGTAAACGAGTGGATGGTCCACTTAAACAATACAATTCGAGTGTACCATCTTCCACATAATGGTGAAACGAAGGGTCCATATTGACATGATATTGGGAAGAAATGAAAATAAAATACACATCCAAATGAATCCTAAATTAGTAAATTCAAATGAAATAATAAATTTCAAATTTGTAGATGGGTAGCAGTAGGGAGGAGAGGAATAGTTGGAATGATGACTGCTGTTCTTTTCTTTTTTTTGTGTGCGTTTGTTTTTCGTTTGAATGGGTATGACTAGACTTGAGACTTGCGGCCCGAGAGGCTGCTAGGAGGGCCTCCCCCACGCCTTGTCCCCCCCAAAGGCCCCCCACCTGATGCGTGACTGAGTGCTGCTAGTAAGCTTCCCGGCCATCAGATGGCCCCTAGGAAGGCCATGTTTTGGTGGGGGGTCGGCTCGTAGCAGTCCCCCCCTTCTTGAATAGGTGACTAGTACTGCAAGCGCTGTGCTGACCCTCTCACTTTTCTTCTGTTCAGTCCATTCTGAAGAATCTGAACTCATGCTTGCCGGTGATAAGTAACCGGACTGTTGACCCCCCGAAGAGAAGGGGCTGGTGTGTTTAAAAAAAAAAAGAAAAAAAAGAAAAAAAAGGGAAAAAAAAGGGAAAAAAAAGGAAAAAAAAAAGGAAAAAAAAAAAAAGAAAGCCTATCAGATAAGGACTGCCGCGATGTACAACAAAAATGCTGTGACAAGTTGTGTTAAAAAAAAAATCAAAAATGCACTGACAAGTTGACACTGTATGCAAATTAATTAAGTACGATCTCTTTCCAAATTCCAATTTACAAACTAAAAATTTCAAGAAAAGTCTCATTCTACGATACGAGAGAAATTGCCTATTCGTCAGTATTTGACTCATAATTTGAGTAATTAACTTTCAAGTTTGAACTGTGAACTGTGAAGTTTAAACGTTGAACTTTGAACTTTGAACTTTGAACTTTGGATTTAAATTTTTGAAGTATGAAGTTATGAACTGTGTAAATTATTGTCAATGTTCTTGTGTGTACCCAGTGTTGCTTCCCACCTTAGCAGCACCCTTCTTGTTTGCCTGCTGTTTTGCGCTCCCCTTCAGCTTGTCAGAAGACTCTTTTTTCTTCAAGGCACCTCCCTTGGAGTCAGACTCTGGAGCATCCTCTGATGTGTTGTCCGCTTTATCCGCACCCGATCCTTTCATAAGTTGGGAGAAGTCCGTACCTAACTTCATCAGCTCCTGGATATACATGTGCCGATCACAAGGTTCAACATTTGCAGAAACATGCCAACAAACTCTCTCTCTCTCTCTCTCTCTCTCTCTCTCTCTCTCTCTCTCTCTCTCTCTCTCTCTCTCTCTCTCTCTCTCTCTC